GATATCGGCAAAAAAATTGACATCGAAAGTTTTATTGAAAATCACACATTGCATATATTTCATTATTTGAATAATGAAAGCAATATACATTTATATGTGTAAATAATTATGGTTTAATATAGTTTTAATAGGTTAATCGAAGTATAAGAATAAGCGATGTCGGACTATATATATAGAATATAGTCGGTTTGCATATTATATACTACTATTTCTACTATCTAAATGTTAGTTAAATTCCTATAGCTGGGTCACGAATATGCCCCTTTAAGTAATTAAAGATTTTGCAACAAAGAGACAAGTGACAACTCTGTCAACTCTTCAATTGATCAAGACGAGTTGTGGTTAGTTCTCTGTTGTGCTTTGAGGTTTTTCTCCAGTTTTTATAGTAGCAAGTGGCACGCCTTCAATAGAATCACGATATTTAAGCTGTATCCCGCCTTGAAAGTTGAAACTCAGCACACAGTTGTGACAGAGTCTAACTTTTCTTTAATAACTAATGCTATATAGGTTTTATTATATTTTTACATTTCTTGGTTAATAAAGCAAGACTGTTAGGAATGTAAGGTAAGGCCAACGCTAAAATTTACCAAAGGCATGTTTACAAACTTTTCCCACGCCTTACCTTACGTGTGAGCTTTATTATTTTCTTGGCCATCATGGGCGTACCGGGCAGGGGGTGGGGGGCGGAGGGCACGGCAGCCCCCCCCCCCCAGTTTGTTGGGCAAACAAAGCCAGTCGGGCAATATTCGCTTCACAGTCGGGCAATATTTGCTTATTATAAAAATAAATGGGACAAATTCTGTCAATTTTGTGGGAAATTCTGTCAATTTTGTTGGAAATATGCTATCTAATAGGAATTTTTTGAACATTTTTTTGGACAACTCGGACACAATTTTTTTTCCGCCCCATAATTTTTTCCTTCCCGTACGCCTATATGTTGGCCATGAGCATTTGAATAACTAAAGTAAAAAACTATTGTTCTTTGAAAAGTAGTTTGATATTCCTTTCATATTTAAAAATCAGAGGTTAATTTTAAGTATCTATTTGAAAAATTTGTCAGCAGTTTGCCTCCTTTCATTTAGCATTAATATTCTAAAGCTTCATTCAAACAAGTCCAACAACGCCCAACATTGTTGGACCAACAACATGTTGGCCTCATTTGAACAGGTTTCAAAGATTGCCACCATGGGTTTCATAGTAAAAAATTATATGTGAAACATTTCATCCCTCAGGAGTCAGACCTCTGCGAATCCACGACACATATTAGATAAATCTTCCAACTCTTTCACACATACAGGAGCGCCGGAAGCAATGTATGGAAGCCATTTTAAGCCATTTTGTGGACGGCAATGTTCGTTAAAGTTTTGCTGTACGAATACTTGATTACGTATATAGCCAATATAATTAGACAAATTTCGGCATTGATTGGAACATTTTTATTCCCTGCATGACGCTAAAGACCAAAATGCATTATGAACCAACATGACATTTTGTTTATCTTTTCCACTATTTTTCATAAATGCGGAAAACTTGGTGTTTCTGAGAGGAATTTGAGGTTCAGATTAGAGCCGAATTGCTTGAAAATAGTTCCCAATTTCAATTCATGTAAATAACGCACGACTTCACTGTTAATTTTAGGGTGTTAAAATAACACCAAAAAGTGGTGTTAAAAAATTAGGTAAAAAATAACACTACTTTTTGGTGCTATTTTAACACCACTAAAAAAGTGTTAAAATAACACTAGATATGGTGCTAAAACAACACCCATTTTTAGTGTTAAATTAGCACTAGTTTTGGGGGTTAATTTAACACCTGTTTATAGTGTTAAACTAACACCACTTTTAAGTGCTAAAGTGACACCAGTTTTAAGAGTTGATTTAACACCTATAGTGTGGCGTTAAAATAACACCTGATTTGGCAGTGCCAAAGCAACACCTCTTCCTATCTGGTGCTAAAATAACACCAGATTTAAGGTGTTGATTTAACACTTTCAACCAGGCACATTAAGACACACACAAAAGAGAAATATAGGTTCAAAATTGGTTATTATTATAAATTACTCGCTGACAAGAAATACCTTTAACATGCATGAATTTATATGAACTAAGTATTTATCACGATTAATTTCAGAGTCCAAGCTCACTTAAAAGTTGTTGTACAGAAATTTTGTTCTCGGCATCAGCAGGGCGGTTTAAGGTGACAGCTTCTAAATTCTAGAAATGCATAAACACTCGAAACACCTGGAGTGTATTCCATATTTAGAACATGGAATGTAGCAATAAGTATGTGGAATGTTTTTACCAGCAAAACGCAAGTAAATTTGCCCCACGGCAGCAATGTACAATGGGTCCAAGGATGCAATGTCACCTTATGCCAAGATTCAAGGATAGCTATTGGTTGATTTCCTCACTTCTTCATCAATGGACAATGGAGTCGTCATCCTAAAAGTATTCATTTTCACATTAGTCTATACAGTATATATATTTAGTAATTTTAAATGTTGTCAAGTTCTAATGCAAATGCTGTATTCTGATTGGCTTTACGCTACTCGTTATCTAATTGTCAATGAGATAGCTAGCTAGAGCGCAAACCATCTCTTTGTTGAGACAAATAAGCATTGATCACATGCAATGATAGGATAAGAGATGTGCCATCTCACATTAACACTACATGTAGCAATTTTAATTACTTCAAAAGGAGTAGGCACAGTATATAACAGAGGGTAGCCATTGAGCAAGTGTCCCTTAACTATATAATTAATCACTGTTACAGTTCAATTCCATTTTGCCATTGAAAAATCATGTCAATACATCGCCATTTCAAGAATGAAAAACTACTTCATTATAATGTTACCCGTGTCAAATGGGTCATTTGTCCAGGACGGATAAGAGATGTGCCATGATCTCACCTTAACACTACATGTAGCAATTAATATTTTTCAAAAGGAGTACAGTATCTAACAGGGAAGCCATCGAGCAAGTGTCACCTAGCTTAACTATATAATTAGTCACTGGTACAGACTGGCCCGTACAGTCCAATTGCATTTTGCCATTGAAAAATCATATCGATACATTGCCATTTTAAGAAAGAAAAATTACCCCAATTATAGTGTTAATTAACTGTGTCAAATGGGTCATTTGTCCTGGATGGATAAGAGATGTGCTATCTCACCTTAACAAGTGCTACATGTGGCAATTATTCTACTTTAAAATGAGAATCTGTTGCAATAAGAACTTATTAGGTTTAGTGTATCTTTTGACATGGTCGAGAAAGAGAATTATGTTTGGGGATTTTATAATGTGAACATTATATCATAATCAATATTTTCACTCTTAAATATTAATACTCAGGACTCTCCCATTGATAACCCAATGATAGGTAAAATTATCTCTGTCATTATACCGTAAACCTGCGACTATAAGCCCCCCCCCCCGACTATAAGCCCTCCCCCTCCCCCGAATATAAGCCCCCCGGAATATAAGCCCGCCACATATACTAACGCTCAATTCATTCCAAATAAAAGCCCCCCCTGAACATAAGCACACCCAAATATAAGCCCCCAAAATATAAGTCCCCCGAATATAAGCCCAGTAGCCCACTACGTTATTCAATATTTTCATTGTCTTTTAATATAGCAAAGAACGATATTTAAAAACATTGTCATTGTCTTTATAGCCGACTATATGTTATATTAATCAGAGCACGTTATTAATGGATGTATATTTTCCTGTTTATGACTGACTTGTTTATGTCTGATTTGATTATTACTAACACAAAAGATCATCCATGTATTAGCCCCCCCGCGTATATAATCCCTCCCTCCTTGTATAAGCCCATCAAAAATCGCTTATACGAAAGTATATAAGCCCAGGGCTTATAGTCGGAGGTTTACGGTATAAGGTCCCCTTGGCAAATTAGATAAAAATTGTCTGCGTTAGCCAGAATAAAACAATAAAATAAGGTATATTTGGGAACATTGCAGCTTAAATTAATGGTTAATTTAAAAATCAAATATAAAATTCGAGTTGGCAAAAACTTTCATGAAACACCAGCTCAGGTCCGGCTGTGTAGTGTATACTGTATCTCATCTCACAGACAGTATTAATAAAATAAATTCCATCGTTCAGTAATCAATATAAAACATTACCGTTTCGGTTTGCCATTGAAATTACAAATACAAATACAAATAGTCCGTTCCTTCTTTTGTTTGTTTCAAAATACCCAGAATTTGGTTTAAAAAAGTATTTTCATGCAAAAACCGGCATTTAACTTTTGTATACACTCCTTGTGATAGCAGCCATGTTGCCAAAATATCACCCGGTTAATGAATAACTTCCGGTACTTTCATTGTATTCGCATTGACCAATCAAATCACGTTCTGAGTTGGATTATCCCAGGGCTTCTGAGAGCAATAAGCGCAGAAGCCCTGGGTAGGAGGTTGTGGGATAATCCAACTCAGAACGTGATTTGATTGGTCAATGCGCGAATACAATGAAAGTAGCGGACGTTATTCATTAACCGGGTGATAATTTGGCAACATGTCTGCTATCACAAGTTCAGACCCTCGTGAAGTTAGCTGACAATAGCACAGCTTACAAATTAATGACTGACAATGAAGCTATCTTACAATAGCAAAAATCAAAATAAATACACTTTTCATGCTTTCAAACCTTCAATAATCTCACTCTAACAATGTATTTCAGCTTTTGCTATCATGTCAAGAACACTTACAGGTAAACTACATGAAGCGTTCCTCTTTTGACTTCGTAACTCATTTGGAATTTTCCTCAGTAGCTTTGCAAATTTGAAAACAACCTCGTACCCAGGGTCTTTCTTATGGAAAGACCCTGGTGAACGCTGGGCACGTGTCTCCCATAATATGGGAGATGGAAATTTTGTCTTACTAGGGAGGGGAGGCTTCGTACAATATTCCCAGGTGAGCGGTAAACAGAGTTAATTACATTGTATATCTATCGATCGAGTTTATTGAAAAGTTTGCAATGTCTGTGTCGATTCAACATCGAACACCGAGAAAGTTCAAAAAATCCCAACCTGGGACAAGTTCGTGCAGATTATGTGGTTCCGTTGGAGATATATCTCATTCGAAAAATATTTTCAAGAAAAACAATCGTGAACTGCTTTTATTAGCTGAGGCCATTACGGGTGAAACTATTCCGCACCACGAAGATCTACCTGAATTAATATGCCGTGCATGTGAAAGAAGGATTGGTCACTTCAAAGAATTTAGAACTAAAATTCGCGAGAGTCAAAAAACATTCGGTCTCTCCAGCAAAAGATGCGTTGAAATGTCTCCCTCTCTTGTGCGTGTAGCGAAAGCTCGTCGACGTTTACAGACCGACCCAGTTTCTCAAATGTTAGACTTTACATCAGATGAAGAGCAGACAACAGAAGAGGTAAGTTTCTCTTTAATTTTATTATGTTAAAAATTTTAAACGTTCGCTTTTGATATACGCATTTGCTAAAATGCCCATTGAACACTAGATCAAACTGTTCCATTGCTTGTATGTCCATGTTGTTGTTCTTAATTTGCAGAGGATGACCTGTATATAAAGAATGACACTTATCAGCCTATTTCAAATCTGAATAAACATTCCCTTTTCAAGCTTTTAGATTGAAATGTTACGAGTTTGTTTTGAACATTGTTATTCTTGTCACCTGTGCTTACGAGATGTTTCCGCCGCCGAGTAAAATTATCACAAATCAAATGCCTTGGCTGTTTTTTCTATGTAATATTATTACTTTTCGTATATTGAACGCAGCGTAATTGCTACAATTATTACGTTCTACGCAAAATGTGCAGTTCTAAATCAGTTCGTGTTAACTCATGTTTACATAATTGTTTTTGTACGAAAGTAAAAACATTCAATCAATCAGTGGGTTGAAATACACAAGGAATATTTAAAATAGTATACAATCTGCTAAGGCCTATATTTTAAAAGGCCAAAGTGAGCGATAGTTCATGGGATGTTACTGTTAAAACAACTAACCTTTTCAATTAATTGTAGTTTATGTTAGAGTAAACTGAGTAATACTTGATGACTGGTACTATATAGTTTATATACGGGAACTTATTAATTCTGCCATCACTCACATTACTTGTTGCGAGTGTTTGAATGTATGTGCAGTAAGGTTCTAAATTTTTCTTTAAAAACCACTTATCTCACTCATTGATCTCACTGCATCTCCCGACTTAATATTTACAATCGTACATTTACCGTATTTTCGTTGTATTTGTCTAGACGGTTCCCCCCGAGTCTTTGCCAGCAGACGACACTGAGTCAATTAAAGCCCTTTGCACCAAAATTGACATTGAGTTGGTAGAAATGGCAAGGAGGGAAAAAGGCTCTTTACTTCTAAACAGGGGGTTTGATGGTTTATCAACTACTAGTTTTGAAGAAATAAACAACGAGATGCAAACGTCTTGTCCTATTACCCATAAACTGTTATCTGCAATGTTGGAGTCCGATATTAACAACAACGAGAAAAAGTTGGCAGCAATTGCATTGATTTACAGCGTCATTATGTTTCGAAGATTCCACGAAATGAGCAGGCTTCAGAGAGTTAACACAATCTTGCTGGTAGAAGGAGGTGCTAGCCAACAGGTACTTTTTTGGTTATATTCGTTTTAACTAGTAGTGATTAGTATACCCCGAAAGCCATCATGGTGTAAGAAAATATTATCACATGAAATTGACAAATGTCTACATTTAAATTGCATCATACTAATCTCTATACTAAACATCACATTCACATCAGTTTTTGAATATTTATTTTATATACTAAGTTTTAGTATTACATGTGAAACGGAGAGAGCACTTTCTTTACAAAACATGACAGCCAAATGCATCCGCGTGGACAGAGTTACATGAAATTGACAAGTAAATTTTTGAGAATTTTTACAACTTTAAAAAACCTTGTTTACCATTTGTATTATATATGCATGGAATTATGCTTGCAGTTGCTTAATTGTATTCAAGGTGTTTCAGCTAATAATAATACTCCGGAATTCATTCCCACATATCTTTAGATAAACATTTTGTGAAATATTTTATTCAGTAGAACAAGTCTTCAGAGAATTATTTTGTAAAATATTTTATTCAAAACTTGGAAGTCTTGTTAAATAGAGTTAGTACTTATATGGGTGACTATTTGTACATACACATTGCAGTTGTTTGGGTTCACATCAGATGATTTTTATCTTAAGTGCACCTTCAAAAAGAAACTGAGCTTAACAGTTTAATATATAATAAGCTGTCGATTAAACAGTATCCAGACCAAGGGCATAACCATGGGTGCAAATGTATTATTTTTCTTACAAGAATTGTCTTTTTTACTGATAACACATACTGTACGAATCAGTGCCCTTTCGCAATGGAAACAATATTATTCAAAAAGTGTGCCCCTTCTCGTATATGCCCCTTCTCTTTTATGCCCTCCAATTCAGATATATTGGGGATGATGGAAAACATGTTTAATTAATATTTTTTTATGATCTGTGTTTCCTATAGCACAATAATTAATGTAACCTACAAAGGTGTTGGTTTTAAGCGGTTGGGTGAAAAGCAATCCGATGGGAAAGAAATGCCATGCGGGTAACATAGGCATACGGAAGGGAGAGGGAAAACTATTGCCCAAGATAACACATAACAATTTACCCCAACCTCTTAAAGCCACCAGCTTCAGATGATATGTGCATGTACTTAATATATACTTGCTGCTATCATCTTATTTACCACTATCTTTTTCTATATAGACCATTGAACGATTTAGTCAGTATGGCATATGTCTGGGCAAAAGAATGAAGTACAAATTGCTAGATGTGATTGGCGATCATTTCATGGATTTGGCAGTGGCTGAATTGCAAAAGGGAAAGAACTTTGTGTTTGTTTTGGATAACATTGACTGGATGGAGAAGGTTCACGATATGCGTTCAGATGCACAGAATACCAGTGTCCATGCTGTCGCCACAAGCCTAGTTTTCAACCGTGTTTCATATCAGCATCTCCCAGACTCTGGCCCGCAAAATTCTCTGGAAAAATGTGACATAAATAAACTTGTAAGTCTGACACCTGAAGAAGAACATCAAATAAGAGAACGTTATAAACTCATTGTCGGGCAAATTATGTGTGAATTCTTTCCAGCATTTAAGTTCCTTTCATATGTGGTACCAGTTCACTTGCCTCATGAAAATCAAGATGCTATGAACCAAAAATCTAATGTTATTTCATTCCCAGTACTTCTTAAGGATGAGAAGAAATATTGTGAAGTTGTTGATGTTCTCGATCAACTGGAGTCATGGGTCCATGAGATGTATTTGAAGGCTGGTCTTTGCTCTGCTCCTCTTCCAGTTAGTGGTCCTCCACCAATCCCAAATGACCTCACCTCCAGACCAGATCAACCAGCAGCACATGTTCCACCTGTGGCTTCTTCATCTGATCCACTAAAGAATGTAAAAATTCCTTGCTATGGTGACCAGCTGTCGAGAGTACGGTTTGCTGGAGCGAAGGATCTGCGATCTGGTTGCCACACAGCCAAGGATCGGTTTGATCACATATATCCATTTCGTATAGTGGATTGGCACTCAAAAAGAAGCTTCCTAAAGGTAAAGGTAATTTTACATTAAAATCAATACAGGTATAATTAATATAATAATTGTATTTTTTTTAAAATTTGTGAAATCATCATAATTTGAAATTTGAAAGCAGACCCCAAATTACTTGAGCTTTGGTACCCCCCCCCCCCACCCCACCCCCTCTCCCATATGATTGTCACCATTGACTGCAGGATAAGGTGATTGGAAGATTGCAATACAAACAAATAGGGGCATTGGTTCCTGACCACACCTTTTTGATAAAGTCAAGTTACACCCCTGCTTACAGTATTAACCTTAATCGTCCAGTCTTTACAGTAGAATATCAAACTTGGTGCAGGACCTGAACCTTTGTTTGATATTTTACAATAAGGAAACATTATACTTTTCGATATTCAGTAGTAGATAGAACTACAAATGATTCATGATCATGATGAGTATGTAATTTACGTGTTTTTGTAGGTAATTTTCAATCGGCTGTACAAGAATTCGGCTCGTGAGGTTGGAACCCTTCGGTACTTCCGTGAAAAGCTTCAGCGAAGGAATGTGACAAAAGATGTTAAACATTATGAAGATTGTGAACAACTGTTTTTAAGCACAGGTTTATGCTACGTCATTGAGGCATTGATGCAATTTTTCATGATGAAATCCAAGGATGACCAGCCAACAAAAAATACACCAGCTTTCCACAATATTCATGTGGATGAAAACAAAAAGAAATATTTAGATGAAGTTTCAGAGAAGTTTGTTGACACGTTTTTGCTGTGTAACGAAGATGGTTCTCCCTCTGCTGATGAGCAAGAAGACGGTGTAATGAACTACTCACTCTCCTTGCTCAGATATTTCTTTGTCATTGCAGATTACAAGGATGCTGTAAGAGAAGGAAATGGCAGACAACTTCTCATATTGCACAAGCAGCTTCTGCAACATTTCAAGTCTGTTCCCGGTTTCAACGCATATGCGATTGAAATGTTGATCAGCATAATTCAATCAGATGTGTTTCTATCACAGGCTGAGTCTCATCAAATTACGTGGTCCGCAACTGTCAACTGGAAAGGAGGAAGTGGGAAGAATATTGAAATTGATCTTCTCCAAGAAAACCGGAATAAAGACCTAAAGAATTTAATAAAGGGCATGGGAGCAAACAAGACAACCAAGGCAATTGAGAGAGCAAGCAGAGCAGCAGGTGGAGTAAGACACATTGTGGAGAACTTTGACAACAACGCATCACTTGCTGTTCAGTCTTCAGGTCATACACATAGGTCGTCTGAATCTGATGAAGAAATTGTTATGGCCGACCTACGGGATCTTAAGCCTTTCCTATTATCGCCAGGAAGAAGACACAACTCATTTCCAGGTATAAATCCAGATAATTTGAGTAGTCTTCAGCGAGATGATTTTAGTAAGTGGCTATCAGGACACAAGAAAAACCTTTTAATGAATGCACCACTACAGCTAGATAATGACGACGATGATGAACCACTACAGCTAGATGATGATGAGGCAGCTAACTTTCTACTTATATGAACATACCATAAATGGTTATGCCAAATATTGTTTGTGTACTATATACAGTGAATGTCAGTTTTAATATATTTATTGACAGCAACTGTATAATATTTATCTGTTCAAGTTTACCCCACTCTGACAAGGTTCAAGATATACCATATTATATAACTAATAAATATGATGATTATTAACATCATATAATATTTAAAATTGTTTGTCTATAGCAAAGATGGTTGTGAAAGTCCTAAAGAAATGCTGCAATTCAGCAATGATGTAAAAATAACTGTACTCCATATTTATAATTACATATAAATTATTGGAACTTATTTAACTGGTAAGGGGTAATCCATAATCATCAACATCTTCAAAAGCGTACGTGTTTTTCTGACTCCCTCCCCCACTCAATACATACTCTTCAATGTTGATATAGGTACTGTAGAAGCATAGCTATAGATTCAATGAGGTATTATCATCCACATTTTATCATCTCTTAAAAATCATACATCGGTCAATAACCCCCTCCCCCCAAAGTATGCTTTATACGCTTTTAAAAATTTTGATAATCATGGAGGGCTCCTAATTCAAATGGTATTTTATGTAATACGTATGTACATTTAAATGAAGTGACTCAAGTTTGTCTTCTCTGTTATATCCACTCTACTTCGGTATTGAGCACTCTACTCATATGATTCTAAACTCGATACTTGTCTATATATATACACCATTAGTGCTGATCACAATCAGGACACAGACATTGCATTGAACAAAAGGAACAACAGCGATGCCCTAAATATTCATGACTTGGTTCGCCACATTGTAAATACTTAAGCAAAAATGAACGCAGACACTGATCTTCAATTCTACAATAACTCCTCATATCTTCTCCCACATGTCTGTTTTTAGAAATATCCCTGTTATTATAGTAAAGTACTGCTTTGGATGCTAGTCCATCTCTGCCAGCTCTACCTGTCTCCTGAAAATACTGCTGAACAGATGAGGGTGGCCCCACATGAATAATTTCCCTAATGGAAGGAATGTCAACTCCCATACCAATAGCCACGGTGGCAAATACAACTCGAACAGTTGAAGAACTAGAAGTCAGTTGACATAAAATCATTTCCTTCATTGCTAATGTTTGAGGGGCGTGGTACTGGGCAAACAACCTGTTCTCAGGAATGTGATCAGCATCAGGTGGGAAATATTGTTCCTTGCCAAGAATACTGTCAAAAAGCTTGTATGCAAAGCCGCACCACTTCAGTGGTAAATATAAAATAGTTATTGGGTAGGTCAGATTCAATTTCAGCAACTTTTCGGCAATTGGCATCAGTATACTTTCGTATGAAGTTATTTCCTCACCTTGTCTAAACACTTTACTGTAAAATATGTTCGGTCTGTCTGCATCACCAATTACTTCAAATGGGTTCTTCATGTTGAGAGATTCCTTAATTTTGGTTCTGTCAAACTTGTTTGCAGTAGCAGTCAGAGCAATGAGGGAAGCATTTGGGAAAAAGGCAGACAACATCCCCAGCTGTGAATAATCAGTTCTGAATTCACTGCCCCTTGAATAAAAGAAATATAACATTTGACATAAATTTTAAGTTCTTCAAACAGTTTGTAGCTATACTGTATAAACTACGCTATACAGACAAAAATACTTCGCGATAACATACATGTTTTAGAGGCACCTAGCTGTCATGCAAACCAGCAAACATGTAAATTTAGATATAAAGATATTTGGAGTAAATAAATTTATACTATCAGTCTATCAGACATATAAGATACTCAGTCACAAATCTTTGTCTGACCTTACCTGCAGGTTGCCGTGAATTTATATCTTACAAAATTTATAATATATTAAAATGTAGAACTAAATACATACCATTCTAAAATACAATGAGCTTCGTCTATAACCACAGCCAACACAGCACGTTTGTAAACATCACTCTGAAAAAGGGCAACTCCTTGTTTTGTGGACAAACACGCTTCTGGATGGGCAAATATAAATTCATAACTGGCATTTTTTAGACGTGAATCGTCGATATTTGTTTTATCGAGCACAGTGTGTTCCCCAGCTTGATCCGTAAGCTTACGCGAACTCAAAACAGCAGCTCTATCTCGTCTGGTATTTATCCTTCGTAGTTGATCGTTCATGAGGGAATTCAAAGGAGAAATGACAACTACCACGGGAGATAGGACTTGTTGTGGTAGAGAACTTGATCTCCTGTTCTTTTCCGACAACAACGAGGGAAGCAGATGGAATATTATTGATTTTCCGTATCCAGTAGGTAAAATCGCTAAAAGATCTTTCCCAAGATACACGGCTTCTAGACACAACACTTGTTTTGGTTTCAAAATCACAGAAGAATAATAGTTGCTGTCGTTGACAGCAAAATGTAAGCATTGCAAGAAGTCAAAAACTTCCATGTTGGCTATATCCAATAACAATTAACAATTATTTAAATACTACCACCCCTCCCTAGCGACAATTTCCATCTCCCATATTATGGGAGACACGTGACCAGCGTTCACCAGGGTCTTTCCATAAGAAAGACCCTGGGTACGAGGTTGATTTGAAAAACTCTTCGTAAATCCCATGAGGGAATTTGCAATATTCCTACCGGCTGTTGCAATATTCCAAACTTCATTTTAAATTAGCCAATTGCAACGCGCAGAACAGAACAGGAAGTTAGGAACTTGTAACAGGAAGTTAAGAACTTCTAACAGGAACTGAGGCAAATTTTATCGGCTTTTACCAATATTGCAAATTTCCTCAAGCGATTTGCAAGGGAGTTTTTTAAATTGCAAAAGTAATGAGGACAATTGCAATCAATTTAGAAACTCAAAAGAGGAACGCTTCACGTAGTTTACCTGTAACAGGCCGGAAACACAAAATATCAACATTTCGCGTGCCGACATTTTTCTTAGTAATTTGTATGCACTAATCGACACTTAGTCTCTGGCACGCAAATTTCCTTCCGTTTAGTGAGCACGGATTTGTGTGCACGGTAGATGGAAAATCTGAAACGGCCATTCCTTTCTAATATAAATTTTATCTAAAACGCTTTAGTTTGCCTCTTTCAATCGAGAACCGGCCGAAGATTCGCCCTTCAATATCCCAACAATTCACTTCGTCGTGTAAGGGAATTTTCAGGAAACACTTAACCTTTCTCAGAAATTTGTGTGCACGGTAGACAAAAAATCGGAGAGCGCCATTCAATTCCCCGTAAAATTCCGCTTCATTCCATAGTAAGCTTCTACAATCAATTATATGTAGAAAACATTTCATCGGGTTCAAACCTCCCAGCTGACAATAGAATTTCACTTAATTTTCTGACAAGCGGAAATTACCGTCGCGCGCATACTGAGCACAGTTTTGTGTGCACGGTAGATGGAAAATCTGAAACTACCATTCTATTCTAATGTAAATTCTACCTAAAACGCTTTAGTTTCCCTTCTTCATACAAAAACTGGCCGAAGATATTCGCCCTTCAATATCTCAACAATTCACTTCGTATGTAATAGAATTTTCAGGAAACACTTTTCCTTTCACAGAAATTTGTGTGCACGGTAGATGGAAAATCAGAGACGTCCTTTTAATTCAGCATAAAATTCCGCTTCATTCCATAGTAAATATCTATAATCAATTACATATAGAAAACATTTAATCGCGTTCATACTTCCCAGCTGACAATAGAATTTCACTTAGTTTTCTGACAAGCGGAAATTACCGTCGCGCGTATACTGAGCACAGTTTTGTGTGCACGGTAGATGGAAAATCTGAAACGACCATTCTATTCTGATGTAAATTCTATCTAAAACGCTTTAGTTTCCCTTCTTCATACAAAAGCTGGCCGAAGATATTCGCCCTTCAATATCTCAACAATTCACTTCGTATGTAATAGAATTTTCAGGAAACACTTATCCTTTCGCAGAAATTTGTGTGCACGGTAGATGGAAAATCGGAGATGTCCATTCCATTCAGCATAAAATTCCGCTTCATTCCATAGTAAACTTCTATAATCAATTATAAATAGAAAAATTTTATCGAAATTCGCGAAAACATGCGCGAAAATTCAGCGCATGAATACAATGATACTTCTTATTTATTCCTATTTATTTTCATACTAGATCGTTGATTCCTGGCTCAAATAATACAAGCATACCAGTCATGCATGTTTTAAAACTAAAATAACAAAGTACAATGATGAACTTGCATCAGGTCTTGTTCCTCTACGTGCCAAAATTAACACCCGAACTATATAGCGTATCACTTATTTACTGATGTCTAATCTGTCTTTTGGCTTTGATGTATATGTGTACATATCTCATGTGCGCGCGACGATATAATTTATTGACTACAGAAGTTTACTATGAAAAGAAGCGGAATTTTATGGTGAATTGAATGGATCTCCGAAATTCCATCTACCGTGCACACAAATTTCCGGGAAAGGATAAGTGTTTCCTGAAAATTCCCTTACATGACAATTGAAAGTGAATTGTTGGGATATTGAAGGGCGAATATCTTCGGGCAGTTTTTGTATGAGAAAGGGAAACTAAAGCGTTTTAGATAGAATTTATATTAGAATAGAATAGAATGGCCGTTTCAGATTTTCCATGTACGTATACCGTGCACACAAAACTGTGCTCAGTATACGCGCGACGATCATTTCCGCTTGTCAGAAAACTAAGTGAAATTTTATTGTCAGCTGGGAGGTATGAACGCGATAAAATGTTTTCTATATACAATTAATTATAGAACTTTACTATGGAATGAAGCGGAATTTTATGCTGAATGGAATGGACATCTCCGATTTTTCATCTACCGTGCACACAAATTTCTGCGAAAAGATAAGTGTTTCCTGAAAATTCTATTACATACGAAGTGAATTGTTGAGATATTGAAAAGCGAATATCTTCGGCCGGTTTTCGATTGAAAGAAGCAAACTGAAGCGTTTTAGATAGAATTTATATTAGAACAGAATGGCTGTTCAGATTTTCCATCTACCGTGCACACTGTTAATTTTAGGGTGTTAAAATAACACCAAAAAGTGGTGTTAAAAAATTAGGTAAAAAATAACACTACTTTTTGGTGCTATTTTAACACCACTAAAAAAGTGTTAAAATAACACTAGATATGGTGCTAAAACAACACCCATTTTTAGTGTTAAATTAGCACTAGTTTTTGGGGTTAATTTAACACCTGTTTATAGTGTTAAACTAACACCACTTTTAAGTGCTAAAGTGACACCAGTTTTAAGAGTTGAATTAACACCTATAGTGTGGCGTTAAAATAACACCTGATTTGGCAGTGCCAAAGCAACACCTCTTCCTATCTGGTGCTAAAATAACACCAGATTTAAGGTGTTCATTTAACACTTTCAACCAGGCATATTAAGACACACACAAACGAGAAATATAGGTTCAAAATTGGTTATTATTATAAATTACTCGTTGACAAGAAATACCTTTAACATGCATGAATTTATATGAACTAAGTATTTATCACGATTAATTTCAGAGTCCAAGCTCACTTAAAAGTTGTTGTACAGAAATTTTGTTCTCGGTATCAGCAGGGCGGTTTAAGGCGACAGCTTCTAAATTCTAGAAATGTATAAACACTCGAAACACCTGGAGTGTATTCCATATTTAGAACATGGAATGTAGCAATAAGTGTGTGGAATATTTTTACCAGCAAAACGCAAGTAAATTTGCCCCACGGCAGCAATGTACAATGGGTCCAAGGATGCAATGTCACCTGATGCCAAGATTCAAGGATAGCTATAGGTTGATTTCCTCACTTCTTTATCAATGGACAATGGAGTCGTCATCCTAAAAGTATTCATTTTCACATTAGTCTATACAGTATATATATTTAGTAATTTTAAATGTTGTCAAGTTCTAATGCATTTTTAAATGCTGTATTCTGATTGGCTTTACGCTACTCGTTATCTAATTGTCAATGAGATAGCTAGCGAGAGCGCAAACCATCTCTTTGTTGAGACAAATAAGCATTGATCACATGCAATGATAGGATAAGAGATGTGCCATCTCACATTAACACTACATGTAGCAATTTTAATTACTTCAAAAAGAGTAGGCACAGTATATAACAGAGGGTAGCCATTGAGCAAGTGTCCCTTAACTATATAATTAATCACTGTTACAGTTCAATTCCATTTTGCCATTGAAAAATCATGTCAATACATCGCCATTTCAAGAATGAAAAACTACTTCATTATAATGTTACCCGTGTCAAATGGGTCATTTGTCCAGGACGGATAAGAGATGTGCCATGATCTCACCTTAACACTACATGTAGCAATTAATATTTTTCAAAAGGAGTACAGTATCTAACAGGGAAGCCATCGAGCAAGTGTCACCTAGCTTAACTATATAATTAGTCACTGGTACAGACTGGCCCGTACAGTCCAATTGCATTTTGCCATTGAAAAATCATATCGATACATTGCCATTTTAAGAAAGAAAAATTACCCCAATTATAGTGTTAATTAACTGTGTCAAATGGGTCATTTGTCCTGGATGGATAAGATATGTGCTATCTCACCTTAACAAGTGCTACATGTGGCAATTATTCTACTTTAAAATGAGAATCTGTTGCAATAAGAACTTATTAGGTTTAGTGTATCTTTTGACATGGTCGAGAAAGAGAATTATGTTTGGGGATTTTATAATGTGAACATTATATCATAATCAATATTTTCACTCTTAAATATTAATACTCAGGACTCTCCCATTGATAACCCAATGATAGGTAAAATTATCTCTGTCATTATACCGTAAACCTGCGACTATAAGCCCCCCCCCCCGACTATAAGCCCTCCCCCTCCCCCGAATATAAGCCCCCCGGAATATAAGCCCGCCACATATACTAACGCTCAATTCATTCCAAATAAAAGCCCCCCCTGAACATAAGCACACCCAAATATAAGCCCCCAAAATATAAGTCCCCCGAATATAAGCCCAGTAGCCCACTACGTTATTCAATATTTTCATTGTCTTTTAATATAGCAAAGAACGATATTTAAAAACATTGTCATTGTCTTTATAGCCGACTATATGTTATATTAATCAGAGCACGTTATTAATGGATGTATATTTTCCTGTTTATGACTGACTTGTTTATGTCTGATTTGATTATTACTAACACAAAAGATCATCCATGTATTAGCCCCCCCGCGTATATAATCCCTCCCTCCTTGTATAAGCCCATCAAAAATCGCTTATACGAAAGTATATAAGCCCAGGGCTTATAGTCGGAGGTTTACGGTATAAGGTCCCCTTGGCAAATTAGATAAAAATTGTCTGCGTTAGCCAGAATAAAACAATAAAATAAGGTATATTTGGGAACATTGCAGCTTAAATTAATGGTTAATTTAAAAATCAAATATAAAATTCGAGTTGGC